AGCAAAAGAGCACAAAAGAGCGGGACAAGCAAGCCGAGAAAGAGTAGTAAGTGATCTTCATTCTCAATCAACGTCAGAAATACTGGATCTTGAAATTAAGACCAACGGTTCGAAGTTTGACAAAGAACTGATCTTTCTGTCGTATAAGAAGAGCAAATCTCAAGAAGCTGCCTATGGGAAACCTACCAGAAGAACGTCTGGGCGCTTTCCACAGACCCCTTTCTTACTGTGGATTATCTAATCCGAAATAATCTTATTTCGGTCCCATAATAGTTACCATCGGAAAACGTCATGAAAAAAGATGGGGAGCTTTGTTCACAATACGATTAGTTCGCTTAACGACTCGAGCTGTTCACCCCGAGATTGCAGCGTCACTATTTACTGATTCAGTAATAATGACGATCAGAAGAATGGCGGCTCGACGCGGATAGCCCACGACTATGTACAGCAACAATGGTACAAATTTCAAACGCTGATCTCGGACAAGCATATGCAGAGTGGACTCCAGCCATGCAGGAGCTAGGACTGCAGCAACGGATGCAATGGAAATACATCCTTCCAGGAGCTCGAAGCCAAGGTGGAGCATGGGAGCGAATGGTGCGAGCGAAAGACTGCTCTAATCGCCACACTGAACGAAAAGTCACCTAAAGAAGAGGTACTTCAAACATTGATAACAGAAGCTGAATACTCCATCAACGCGAGACCCCTCACACATGTCTCGGTGGACCCTAACGAACCCGAAGCACTGACACCGAACCACTTCTTGATCGGGTCATCAACAGGCCAGCCGTATGTGGGACCCTTGAGAACTTGCAGACAAGCGTACATGGAGAGCCGCTCAAAACCTAGCAGATGAATTTTGGAGAAGGTGGCTACGTAAATAAATACAGAAACCTCAGAATATGTAGTATTTTACTACATATTCTGAGGTTTCTGTACATGCAACTGAACCAAGCAAGCAAATTACGAGAAAATGAATAAAATGAGCGCAGACCCTAGTGATTGTGATAAAATACTAGAATATTTAAGCCAGAAAGGATTGAGTCCAACATTATTTTTTTAAGTTATGCGCAAACGTTTAAGATATTTCCACCTAGAATGCAAAGTAAGCTAAAGCAAGAAATACCTTCGATTCGCCACCACCAACAACCAAGATACATATATTAGACCTCCTAAATTGTAACGAATCTTTTAGTAGTTTAGCAAATGAATACGGCGTAGGCCGATCTACAATTTATGACATTAGAAAAAACCATGAGAAGCTAAAACAGTTTGTGTCTGTTGGGTAGTCTATTTGACACAATGTACACTGTGGCATAATGCTCCTATGGTAGTATTTTCTTTGTCATTGTCAAAGTCATGTTATATATAAAACTAGTCTGTGCAAAAAGTGATTCCAATAAAAAATATATTCTTAAGTGTCAACTACTTAATGTGGGTCAGGCAAGAGACAAACACTCAAGAAAGCTGAACATCCAGAAGTGGAAGATCCTGTATACATGTGGTTTCTTCAAGGCCCATTTTGAAAGTCGTTAATCCGTTAATTAAAGTTAATATTTTTATTGACGGATTAACTTTTAAAAAAGTTAACGGACTCGTTAACTTCCTTTAATATGTAGAAGTCCGTTAATCGTTAATACCATACCTACTATTTATCGCACGGCACCGCGGTGCGATAAATATGCGCGAAAAACAGATTCAAACAAGTATGAAATGACAAGTATCGGGCGGAGCGAGGCACAACGCAGTAGGTAGGATACTCGAGACGTATCGAGAATAGAAATAGGGTATATCTCACATCGATTACCGTGTCGTCTATGATCGCTATCGTCGTCGCGAGCGATTCGCGTCCACGAGTATCCAGAAAGAAGAACCTGAAGTTTCCTGGCTGGAAGAGAAATCAAGACATCGATCCTAGAACTACCAATATGCAGCGCATGAAAGTACACTATACATTTTTCCTGTAAAGTTGCTCTCAATGTGTGAAGTTTAGTGAATAGTTATATAGTTCAGTTGCAAACATTTTCCACCCTAAGAAAATCACCCCTAGAGAGCCTGCGCGCGATAGACTATCCCGTAGGCTCAATTTAGATAGATAAATGTATAAAATAATAATAATAATAATTTAGATAAATGTAAAAAACATAACACTTTAGCACCATAGGTTAAGATGGGAAAATAAATAATACTCATTACTGTAGTTTTACTTCCCCTAAATTACAGTAAAAATAAATAGGTTAGGTAGTAAATTAGAAACAGAACTGTAAACAAACCAAGAATGGCATGGGAAATAAATAGGTCCCAAAGTCAGGCCATAAATCCCTTCAGACGGGAAATAGGACATAGATAGGACATAAGTGAACCATTCTCTGAACTGAACTGAACCACTCTATATGAGAGGCCTGATTAAGACTTTTGAATTTGTTGCTTTTGGAAGTTTCTTGCATTCAATCATGGCATTGGCTGGTTATGGTCAAGCTCTTCCCAGCACATCGGCTCCTGTTCAAGGGGAGGAAAGAAATGTTGATATACATAACATATCAGGGGCGGTCGAGGAAGCTGTTCTCAATATGGGACGTCAAGCTGAAGAAAATAGGTTCCTAGCTCCGGAAATCAACTTCCGCTGGAGTAAAACCTGAGACTATAGAGATCGTTTTATCAGAAATTGCAAGTGAAAGTGAGGAACAAAGCGGCCATAGGCGCCATCCTTGGTCATTCTGGTTTTTCTAGGAAACGTTTAGCAGTAAAATCCTCGAAGAGCAGACCAGGGCTTGTAGGATACAGACAAGTTCCCTATAAACCTACGAAGCTGATATATGTTGTGTCAATCTCGACTCAATACGCCCAAATAGCTGTCGCTTCTAGGTTAGTAAACTTCATATCTACTAGAGGGAAAAGTGGTGGTAGATATGGAGAAAGGATCGATCCGTCTCATTGTTCGACTGGGAGCAGTTCAACAACAGGGGTGCTAATATTTGACAATTATGATAGCATTGCCGCTAGTGGAAATCCACGTTTGCTGACAATTGGGACTGATCTTAGTTCATACGATACGAACTTGCGTTATTGGAACTTTCGTAAGGCGTTCATATCCGCCTTGAAAAAATTAAATTCAAACAAAACCTTCGGTCCGGAGGCTATCCCCGGACCAGATGATTAGTTTATGATGTTTGACTAATGCTTATGGCGAAGGACGTGTCTATAAATCATATTGGGACAATGGTAGGACTCCTATCATTATTATTGATGAACGTGTTAAGGACGCTGACATAGCTTTACAGTATAATAGGTATATTACAAGTATGAAAGTTGATGCGGACATCGACACGATAAAACCGCTCTCTGGAGCACGCTTTTTGACTCCGGGAGTTTACAGGAAATTCGACATAGATTCATGTCTTGAAGAAAAAATACTGATACCTTGGAATATCCTGCGCATTGCCGCTGTACGTGATGGCAGTGATTTAACTTTTTTAACTAGCGAAGCCTCCGGAGAATTAACTACTCTGGCTGCGAATACTATTGTCAATCTTACGATGCAAAAGAAAGCTATAGCGTGGCTACATAAATCATCAATGGGAAAATATCTAGAGGTAAAATATATAAAAGGCGTCGGTGATGACGCTGAATGGATATGTACCCTACCGAGAGTAGCCAAATGAATCGAAATTGACGACATGTTGGAAGGGCTGGCAAAATTATACTCTGAGATGGGACACACTTTTTCGCCAGCTAAAACGTTGCTTTTTCGCCAGCTGAGTACGTTCAGACGTTCTCGCGATATGGTCTCTATATACCACGAGATCAGATAATGATAGTGAGCAGTGAGAAGCCAAGGAGCATTAGACCCTAAAGAATTCACAGAATCGTTTAAGCAAGTATTGCTAGCGAAGTGTGCCAGAGGGTTCAATGTTGACTACGCGAATACTTTATTTCTACGGCACGCGCGAGAGATCGGACGAATGACCTTGAAGCGTTACATTCCACAAATTTCCGACACTAGATCAGGAATTATTAAGCTTATAGCTAGCGGAGAGAAGACGTGCTCAATTACTGTTTCAAAACAGACGTACAAACGTGCGAGCGAAAAATTCTATGATAAAGAAATACCCCTGCGACATTTTTATTATTCTGTCGCGCGATTCATGCTCCCAACTCCGGCTGGCGGACATGGGTGGAATCCCTTGATGATTAATATTGTGAATACTCCAGCGATGTTCTTACGTTTCATCGCAGCATATCCCGATAACTTCAAAACAAACATGTATCGGATCCTAGTTCTTTTCCCCCGTCTTCCGGTGGATAAGGGAGTCCAAAGTGGAAATGATAATGTTTTAGGTCGCATCTCTTTACCACCCGACCTAAAGAGTATAACCGCTGCGGAGATGTTTTCACCAGCTGTTCAACATAATTTGCAGGCTCTTAAAGGAATTAGTATTGGCTATTCAGACGGAGATAAAATACCGAAACGAATTCTGCGTGCTGGATTAGAGCTAGAGTTTTATGCAGAACGAGAGCAATTTTCCGATGGAAGAATACTTTGAACGCTACCTGCGAGCTTTGACCCTGCCAATGCGAAGGCTAAAACATGATATGCATAGTGGAGATAAGTGAAACGTACACGGGTTCGTATCGCACTGGTTTAATATATGAAAACATGATGGTGGGCGCAGCCACACAGGTGTACCAACATACATAACATCCCTCCCCCTATTACAAAACCGATAAAAAAACAAAAACAATAATCAGAAAATCTAAAATTAAAGCCTGACCAATAAAATAAAAACCCTCGACATATTGCGGAAAACTATTGGAACTAATTTCTTCAACTGGCAACCATCTATAAGAGATGTCATTATTGTCATCTGTCAAAGTGTGTTGTCGATTGTGCGTGGTGTATTTCTTGGTTAAGTGAGTTATTGAAATAACTCACTTAACCAACTTAACTTTAACGCTGAAGTGTTAAAATGCCAAAAACGATTAAAAGCCAGTTAAGAAAAGTTATTTATAATATAAATAATTACTTGTCAGAAAGAAGGTGTGAAGGAATTGACTCTATTCCTCTAAACAACATCACGGACCTTGTTGTCAACATGACTGGTAGGTACCTCATATACTACATCCAATATGAATTGGCTAATTTGTGACTAATTTTTAATTTAAAAGTTCTGTTTGTTTATTTTTGTTTTTTTTTTTTGTATAGGTATATCCCGATCGTCCGTAATGAAAATACGAAGAGAAGGTCAGATCTCAGTTGTATTTTCTACACCCAAGAAAAATAAACCTAAAACAAAAAAGAAAATCAATTTGGATGATTTCGATCTCTGTGCAATTAGGCATAAATTACAAGAATTTTATGCCGTCCGAAAAGAAGTACCGAGTTTGAAGCGGTTGCTTGCAGCTCTGAAAGAATCAATAAATTTTGTTGGTGACAGGGAGTCTCTTCGTTTACTGTTACACAAATTAGGTTATAAATTTAAAAAATGTAGAAATCAAAGGACAATTCTTATGAAGCGGTATGATATAGTAGCATGGAGGGATAGATATCTATAAGAAATCAAAGATGTAAGGAAGAGTGGTATGCCAATTGTATACCTTGATGAAAGTTATATTAATACTTCGCTCAATTATGCTAAATGCTGGCAAAGTGAAAATGAGCCTGGTGGATCTAAATCTGTGGCTAAAAGCAAAAGATATGTCATTGTCCATTGTGGTGGCAAGACTGGGTTCGTCCCTAATGCTTTATTAATTTATAATGACAAAGAAAAAAAAGAAGATTTCCATGACGCCATGAATACAGTTAATTTTAAGAAATGGGTATTGGATAAATTAATACCCAATTTGCATGAACCTACCTGTATAGTCATGGACGATATCATTCTAGCCAAATCAACAAGCCACCGAGCATGATAAATAGAAAAAAAGAAATTACAGACTGGCTTTCATCAAATAATATTGCCTACCCTACCAATGGTACCAAAAGTATGCTAATGGTTATAGTAAAACAAAATAAACCTGACCCAATATATGAAATAGATTATGGTCACAAAATAGTAAGACTGCCTCCTTATCATTGTGACCTCAATACTATTGAGATGATATGGGGCATAGTAAAAGGGAAGGTTGCCACAAAGAATGTTGGTTTAGACAATATCACATTCATGCAGCTTGTAAAAAACGGTTTTGAGGTAAACATCACATTTCATCTGATATAAAATTAAATATTTTGTTTAGATACAGTTACCGACTTATTAATTATTTTTCTAGGATATAATAACTGCCGATACATGGAATAATTGTTGTGAGCATACAAAGAAAATAGAAGAAGATTATAGACAAAGGGGACCAGTAATCGACGGAGAAATTAAAAATTTATTATAAATGTTGGTGACGATAGTGAAACATCCAGTGATACAAGTAGCAATGAATCTGTTATATCTGAAATTGAAACACAACAATCAGACAATGAAGATCATGAAACGTATGAATCTGTTGAATATTTGGATTCTGACTTTGAAGACTTATGCTATTAAAATATTAAATAAAGCTAATACTGAAATAATAAAGTTGTACTTTTTTAAACTGCCTAATTAGAATCAGAATCAGAATCAGAATGCCTATAGTTTACTTTTAAGGAAGTTTATTTCACAATACTTTAAAAATTATATATGTACTTTAAAAAAACCTTGTAGTAGGAACAACCTTTAAAAAGTAAATTTTAACTGTCCTTCCCGAGTCGTTAGAAAAGAAAGAAATAAACATAGATTGTATTGTAGTGATTAAAAAAAAAATTAAACGTCGATTCTTCTTCTAGCCGCGAATTAAAATAAATAGTAGGTAAACTAACTTTCTGTGATAGTTTATATTAAATTAAACACTAGCTAAAAAAAGTACACTTGCCAATTCGCAATAGTATGACTATAGTAGATGTTGCCATAATCATAGTTAATATAACACCCTCAGAGCAGGTTTTTTATTTTTTTGGTCAGGCTTTATAACTAGTGATTGTTGAGAACTAGTTCTCAAATAGCTCAGAGCATGTCTAAGGTGTTGTAGAGGTGTTGTAGAAATTGTTTTATCAGGAAAGTAATTGCAAGTGAAAGTGAGGAAGAAAGCGGCCATAGGCGTCATCCTTGGTCGTTCTGGTTTTTCTAGGAAACGTTTAGCAACAAAAACTTTGAAGAGCAGACCAGGGCTTGTAGGATACAGACAAGTTCCCTATAAACCTACAAGGCTGACATGTACCACAAACGAAATAAATCAAACTGGGACCAAATCATACCCTTTGCTGGTATGTGCCATAATACATTGGTTAATCAATCAACCAGTCTCATATGAAAGTAAAGGCTAAAGAACGTTATGACGATAACATAAGGAATATAGCCAAGTTCGATGTAGACGACAAAGTTATGTTGAAAGTACCAAATCCAAACAATTTAGACCTTAAATGGGAAGGACCCTTTGCAGTTATACGAGCTGGTTTTAACCTTAACTATTTAATTAAGAAATCGAATCGCAACCAATTAGTGTACGCAAATAGGTAACAACCGTAAGGCGATGGTATGTTGAATTTGAGAGGTCGAGTTTCTTTACATGTCAAATTTCGTGAAGGGCGGCCTTCAACTGCCGTCAACGAAAATAATGTGGGTACAGTTAAGCGGCTAATTGAAGTTTCCTTCAATTAGCCGCTTAACTGTATTCTGTATTCTGTACCCGCGGATTACCTATGATTCGAGGACTATTAGGGATTGGTATGAGCCAAAAGTACAATCACGGACATTCTAATGATGTTTATGACAATGTCACAGGAGACGAAACGTGGATTTATTGTTTTGAACCCGAAAAAAAACAGCAGTCTTGTGAATGGCAGTGATAGCGTTCAATCGGCACGTAGAAAACATGCCTTCAGATCTGTGGTCCTCCTGTTTTAAAAAATGGTTCGATCGCATGAAAAAATGTTTAAAATGTAAAGGAGAGTATTTTGAAAAGCAATAATATTTGGGTTATAACATATTGTTTTTTTTAAGTTACACAACACTTATAGTGCGACCTACGTAATCCCCTTCATCATTAAGTTTTTCATGATAGTGCCTAAATGTTTTTTATAATTTCTTAACGACTCTTTATTCAGTGGAAGGTTATATAAACTCATTAAAAAAAAAACAATAGTACAGGATTGTAACCAAAAAAGTTGTTAAAAATATATGACCTCAAATAGCTCCAATATTAAGTCACATTATTAATTTGATTTGTGTAGAGACAGGAAGTTTCGCCGAAAAATTAAAAATAACCATTATAAATCCGATTTTTAAAAAAGAGGACAATGAAAATTTCTAGTGTCACAGGCCCATTGCTTACACCCCACCCGCGCCACACTAAACACACAAAAGCAGCCGTCGACAGAGCATTGAATATGTTAGTATGCCTGTTGAAGTAGCTGCTAACACCGCTCGCAAGTCGCACAGATATTAAGGCGGCGGCGACAAACGGATTAGCCAAATTATTTCAGTATATAAATGCCGAATAACACCCTACCCATTGACGCATAAGCCCCGGGAGCATCATGAACAAAGTCCAAGACCTCCCTCTGCTAGCTCAAACCTAGGACGTACACCTAATGGGTGAAACGAAGCACAAAAGTATAGAGACGCTGAGGATGCCTAACTACCATGAATACAGGCAAAACGAGCTGTCGTCGGCTGACAATGCGTACCGCAGTACAGCTGTACTAGTCGGCAGCAACATAGTCCACGTGGAGTTAGTAGCCCCGAGTTCCGCGTCATGGCAATAAAAATGTACCATAATCAAGTATGCTACGAACTAAGGTATTGTAAATAAATTTGAGAGATAATGGATAGGTACTCCATTAAACTACTGACAGACATGAACTAAGAATGTTAAATATTTTTTCAGATTTTGTAACAATTCGCACTGTGAGACCAGTTCATCTAGAGTCTAATATTATACCTAAAAATTTTACTTGGGACTTTTTTTACTGATATTATTTGTTATAATACAGTACTTTGACTACGAGCCCTTCCCAACCTCACCTTACTCAGTATTGTTTTAGATACTTCAAGTTATAAATGAAAAGATAAACAGTTACGACATAGAATTGTCATCGTTTTCAAAAAGCACGTTATATAAAATATTGAAACACCTTCATTTCAAGTACATGAAAATAAAACGCCGCAGTACATTAATAGACCAAGAGGACATTATTTTATGGCGTCATTGATACCTACAAAAAAATAAATACTAAATGGAAGGTCGCTTCAACACTACTAGAAAGCCTTACAAGGGGCCTAAAAGGGTCATCTGGCAAAGGAAGACGAGTAGTAAGGTCCCATCTTGAAAGTGAAGACGGTTTTGTAAATGATAGTGCATAATATTTCCAGCAACAAAAGGACTTGATGATTATCACAAAGAAATTAATTCAGATCAATACGAAAATTGGTTGAAAAATATTCTACCAAACTTAAAACCCAAATCAGGTCTTGTAATAAATAATACTTCGTTCTCATACTAAAAAAATTCAAGATTAGCTAAAATAAAAAAATATTTCTCATAAAGATACGATGTTAAAAACCAAATTAACAGATTGCCTAAAAGTCATTATTCCTCTACCTCTCAAGGTGACTCAGAGGCTAAAGGAGTTTTTTCGTCTACCTACAAATTGCCGACAATATATAGACAAACGTTATAATGTTTTAGATATTTTTTTCGACTTAAATTCATAAACTTGGAAAGTGAAATTATTTTGACATGATTGAAAATGCTGTATGATTAATAAAATATACAGGCGATTTTTCGCTATGAAAAATTAACTAACGCTAACTTATATGAAAAATTACTTATTCATGTCATTCTTGGAAAAATTAGTGGGAAATTGTAGACACTACTACCACCACCGCCACACAGAAATGGCACCACCACTTTCGACAGTTTCCAAAGACAGATACCAGGGATATGTTTAAACTAGTGACTTTCCTAATAAGTATTCTAACATCAAACTGCTTTCCTGAACGTCTTTTTTCCCAGATTAATTTAAAATGGCCGGATGAGATAAATAACTAACTCATCTATCTTGAAAAGTTCTTCAGCTTCTTAGGCTTTAAGCCCTCACAGAATTATATAAATAATAATTCTCTTTTTTACCTTGCAATATGTAAAACTCACTTCTCAGACTATTGTTTAAAACGCCACATTTTTATAATGAATAAAACTTTGATATATCTTTATTATTCAGAAGACGAACAAAACTCAACTACCTAACAATATAGTAAATCTGATTTAAAATATCATATTTTTATTAAAATACAATTTCTATTACTATTTTTGCTATTTATTGTATTGTACTAAAATATAAATATTTCACTTTATGATTATATACGTTTTTTCACTGTGTCCCCCTTTTCGAGAAACATAAACAACATGTTTCAAATTCAACGGTGCTTGTGACAGTAACGATAAGGCTTTCAGATTATGTCTGATGACGAAATCATATTGCAGATAAATGAACAGCAAGAAGATGGAATGCATGGATGCAACTTCAATGGTAGGATTTTAATATTTTAATGTTGATGTCACTACTTTTTTAATTACATTTTTACTAAAGTCTACCAAATCACCTAATAATCTTTTTCTCCAATAAATAATACAGGACCATCTGATGATGAAGCACTTCATGCCTTGTAAACAGCTCTCAAGTGGTTAGAAAAACAAATAGAGCGATACTGTGAGTTTAATATAGATGAAATGAATTTATAAATGAAAAATTTGAAAAAAACAAATGAAACAGCAACATAGAAAGTGGCTTATGTCAAATGACAATCACCAAATTTTTAAACCAAATTGAACTTATTATTTATTTCAGGATTACCAAATTATTCCTGCACATATATTTCAATATAATATTTCATTAAATGTTACAGTAGTAGTATTTTAGTATTGTCTGTAATCTAAGATCCTTTATAAACATTCATTTTCATTAATGTGTTTTTTTATAAACACAACATTATGTACTACATATATGCACGAAACCACTTTTCTTCATACATTTGATTACAGAATGCCTATTGACAACAACAGATTAACAAATTTCTACTTTACTTCATTAATAAAAAATAAGATATGGCCATATATGCTTAGGACTTTATCATGAGTGCATTGGAATAATATAATATTGCACTGTTTCATCAACAGAAGCCTTCAGAATACCACCACTGGGCATTGTTAGTAAATTGAACTAGCAACCTTATTCTAGCAGTAATATCATATTGCATAATGTCATATCAGGTTGACAGCCATGCAGTTCTCTCTGGAAACTATAATTATTAATTCAGCATGAAAGGCTCACTGACCTGATTTCATTTAGCACAAACAGAAGAGCTATTCTATTTCTATTTATACCTACTCTTTAATTGTACCACAGAACAATATAAAAAACAATACAAATAATATATTTACTAGAACTGATACAAATATATATTTTTTTTTTATAGATGTATACATCCATTCTATTTACAATCAAATAACAAAATATATGTAATTTCAACACAACTATATATTAGAGTACACACATATAACAAATGACAATAAACTAATTTTGTTTCTCAATTATACAAATATTTTGCCGATTAGATTTTGATTTTAAATTGTATAGAAAACCAACACCTCCTGGTCATACTCTTTTATGGCTACTAATGAAAGACAATAAATATTGGATATAGATAAGAATCCATTTGAATTGAATAACAAAAAAAATATGATAACCATATAGGTTTTTTTAGTATCATTGAACAAGTAAGACATCAGACAGTAGATATGTGTATGAAATACAGACTACTTCATAATGGAACCACCAACTACAACTATCACTTTGCAGTATAATTTTCATTATTTAAGAGTTTTAAATCTGATCTCCAAACACCATGTACCAACCCACAACCTCAATTAAATTACTTCGAACACAATATAAATGTCCTTGACAAGCTTCTAGCAATTACTTATGATAAATTAAAATTGAGGCAAAACAACATTATTTTCATATTTCTGAACCTACCAAGTTATGATATTGAAAACACACAATATTAAAATTCATCATTTTCCTTGCAAAAACAGTTTAAAGAGATTAACTTTAAGCCAAGCCTATTTTTTAATAAAAACAGTTATAGTTGAACATAGATTTTTAACCTATTAGGGGCCTTTAAAAAGTACAACGGACTAGGTAATGAACGAGTGACGATATTCAATGAATAAAAAATATAAAAACGAAAATATACAGTATATAGTAGTAAATATACAGTAACTAGTACAGAAACTAGTAAAAACTTTACTTTTAACCAGTACTGAAACTTAAAGCGATGGAAAAAAATAGATTTATAAGATGACGAAACAAACCAAATACCTACAAAATAAAAATATGCCATGGTAATAATTTGTTCAAGCACCGACCCAATTGCGGAATACGCTTATTCGCTACTTTGAACTTCATATTTTGAAAACACATAATTCTAGAATTTGAAATGCCAAATAAAATAAAGACAAATTGAGTTAACAAAATCAGTGAAACAACCAAACTACAAAATAATCGCAAGAAAGTAACGGAAAAGATCAGTCACAGACAAAACTTTAGAAAACTGACACAGTCGGATATTTCAACAGTCCGTGTCACAGGTTAATGTTAGAAACCATAGAGAAAGCCCATATTATACAACATGTAATGAAAATTTAAACCTTATACCGGTGACATGGCGTTTATTTCGTATTAGGTCTTCGAATTTAAGAAAGGAATGTCTTAAGAGATTTGGCAATAAAGGATTCTATCTTTCTCGCACAGTTTGAGATTATGGTCTAATTGAAATTACTTAATTTTATTTACATGGTAGGTTCAAAAGGCTTACTACGAGCTTAATTAATCATGCAATGTAACATATTTACTAATTTAATACATATTTACATATTTAATAATTAATAGCTTTGAGATATATCATTTTAGTTCCGTTCAATAGATCATGTAAAAAACAAATGTGTCTCCCCTAAAAAAGAGGCGAGTCTTTCTCATGCAAATAAAACCTGATTTTAATAAAAGTTTTTAAATAATAATTTTACGTTATGAAAACAAGTCTTTCAGTTTCAAAAACATGTTCACAAATCATTCATAGACGAAAGTAAGGTCTTGATAACTGCTTACAGTTCTAGACTATATTTTACAAAAGGATTATTTGTTCAATTTTAAAATGTAAACACGTACTGAATACTTTTATACAAATATATATTAATAATATTTGTTAAATAATATAACAAATTAACTTTTACGCTTGTCTTGTATTCATTATGGTTTCAGTATCATTTAATTTCTTACATTTTAAAAACCGGTTATTTCGTTATTCAAAAAGAACCGTTGATAACTAGTTCATGAATTTGATTCTGTCGGGCACTCGCCCATTCCTAGCTTTCTTTAATACTGTGCTTCAGGCGCGGTGCGGTGTTTAAATTCACCTCATCCTGATAATTAGACATGTAAGTATTAATGAAACTTAAGTAATGTGAAAAATTATGTATCTTCTAAATATATTTGAATATTTCTTTTATAGTTCTTAATAATCAATGTAAAAGACATTCCAGATTTACCTTACGTAACCTAATGGAATAATGTTTGCACGTGACCTTGCCCTATATCATTTTACATAATTTTCTAAAGGCCAATATTAAAATAAAACTTGTAACAATCTATGAATTTAAAAAATATATTCATCTATGTATTTGCTATAAATTAAGTACTGCTGTGGGCCAGATTCATATATTAATTTTAATTATAGATACGTAGACAGATTTACACAGCATACTGTTAATTATCATTTTACTTTGATTACTTCAATTGTTTGTAGATTTATATCTTTAAAATAGTATTTTTTGCTATTATCTAACTTTCACTACAACAATGTAGGCGCCTGTCATACTGACAATGGCATTGATTTTTTACTATGTCGATATGAGAATTAAAGGTCAAGCCAGGAATAACCTAACTAAGGTTTTGGCATAATATGCTTATGCTGGTGGACCATATACTACTCCGCCCGGGTTTTTCACTTCGAATAAATTATTTTGGATATGAAAAAATGTGTTAATTAATTGCAGTTGTTCAGTGTGCATAGGTATGGTACTATGGTTTCATATACATTTATTATGAGTTTATTGTATTTATTATTCCTCTTCTGTCTTTATTATTATTGTTACATTAATGTCAATAGTTATGTACTGAATATGTCAAAGAATACATTATTTTAAATAGTCATTAATTATGATTCTGTAACTAGATTCGGAATGAAGATTCAGTTAAGTAGAATGGAGAGAAAATTGTTCAGTATTCTTATGAAACAAGCATAGAACTTTCCATGTTTATGAGTTCTCAGATTTAGATGAATACGATTTCTATAGTTCTTGATTGGTATTAATTCATAAAAGTTCTAGTATATATGTACACCCAAATTACATACATACCATAGATAGTGTAATGAAACTAATTAATCCTAATTGAATAACTAAAATTACATTGCCGTCATGTTAGCATTTACTCTACATCAATTCTGCAAATATTCTCAATGTTCAAGATCACATACTATGTTCTACCACATAATCTTATCATATTCATAGTAGGTATATCTTAATTATATATATTTATCACCTTACATGACTGGTAATGTTATCTTTACAACTTTATAACCAGTTACATAAGATTCACTTTAATTATCTACATTTCTCTACTGCTTCTAATGCTTAGCTACTCTACTTATAAATTCTTGTTACTAAATATTTGTTAAACAATTTTAAGACTGAAATATTGATCTTTTTGGAAAAGAAAACCATTACCTATCTATAACCTATACTGAAAGCTAGCGGGCAAGCAGAGGCTTACAGCCTCTGTGGTCCAGCTGTTTAGCATGCTACCTTATTTCTAATGATCAGAAATTCTATTCTCAGACTATACAAATTTGTGTATTCATGAGTATGACTGTATGAACAAACTTCTTAAGTTTCTTAGACACTGAATGGCATCCAAGTGATATGCCCCATTAACTGTCATTTTTTATCTGAATATTACCGATTACTGTTCATTGAATACATGAGATTTTGCTTATCTGTGATATATCCACCCACATAACACATAATATGACACTAAGCAATGCCTCTTTAAGATTATAACAATCAATTGCCAATAATCATTTTGTACTGATGGAGATAACAAGATATCAGCAAATTGATGTACTTTGAAATGGATCAATCACAATATTTCATACTATAAGTCTGGTTTGAAATTTTCAATATGATTTATGTGTTCTACCCCTCTTGGTGTACTGATTTAAAGATTTCCATTTGTACTTCCCATGTGTGCCTAAATTAGTAGGATGTAGAAAGTTATCTGCAGAAGTACCAACTTCTGTCTCAACTACTTCAGCTGACAAGCAGCTGGCTTTATAAGCTCACTGGCTATTTCATTTGAGGGGTTGTATGCAGTGAAGTTACAGATAATTGTGACGTAACACATTAGTTCTCAAGATTACTAACCCATGGGGCACCATGGGTGTGATATAATGTTGTGATATCTGTGACATAGTTTCATTATATAGGCAATGGTTGTCATTTACCATCATTCATATTTCTAATATTATATATGGGATATTTCAATAAGTACTTCTGTCATCTTTGTTCCTATATTATATTTTTTATATTGTAATGACAAAGTAAGCTAGTGACCTCTACATTAATATCATGTTATCATGTGACACCTGTGCTAGCACTCATGAGTTGCCATTCCAAGGGACCAATATACCCTGGCTCTAATCCTGTAATTTTACTGACCACTATGGTTACACCCTACAAGGATAACCCGTTTACAAGAAAGCTACTTGGTGGCTGACATTGATTAAAATAAAATACCCTTGCAGATGAACTACATCATCTACGAAAGACTACATCTACACAACACAATACTGTATAGATTTATTCATGAAATAATACATTGTATATATCATTCATGAAAATACCTTTTATATTAATTCACGGGGCCAAAGGACAATGAATAACTTGTATGTTTATAATGAACATATTTTTCCAGAACAATGTTTGCTTCCCTGTTGGACACGGCGCGGAACTCGCCGTTCCGCGGCCCTCTCAGCCCTGCACAGTGCCAGGCCAGCACTCTAACACCGCCTAGCATCGAACAGGTAAATTATTACATATAAAAAATACAAACAACGTAAAGAGAACAAAGAAACTTAGCACCAACTGTGCAATGACACTAGAAATGCTGGGCCAAGGATGCCAACCATATTACAAATTCTCTTACAAATAAATATGAGAATTTTGGTTGTACCTTTGTACATGTTTGTATGAGATTTAGATAATCAAAAATTCTTACTTTTCTGTATGGGCTTAGTATTTTAAAGTTGCAAACCCCGTACGGGAGTAGTTGCCCCCAGAATAGATCACTGGTACATAGTGCTAGAGCTTTTTCTCATCTTCTTTCTTCGCCTTCAATCAAAAGTGGAAAATTATATAAAATGCCTATAAAAAAAATTTTACTATAGATATCATATTATGTAATATATGTGTAGATACCTCTTAAATAACATTACAGAAGCTTACAGTCTTAAAAGAAACTTCATACATACATGAATATAAAGAATATGTGGCTCCGTACATGTTGTAAGAAAATGAAAAAGGATATCCTTGTTAGTATTAATACAAGTTTCATTATTTTATTTTTTATTATAATTGTAGGTACTAATATTAGTAGCCCGATGATGAGAACTCATAATGGAGAGGGGCTGTCATTAGTGACGCTGGTTGGTCTGCGGCCCAAAACCGGCGTCGCTCTGGTTACCCAGTGTGTCCTACTAGCTTAACTTATGGCAGGGTTGCCCTATGATCAATAGATTATGAGAGCTGAGGGCTTATTTACAACATTAAATTTATACATCAATGTCTTCTAATACAAAAGACAGAATATTTATATCTTTACATTTACATTAAATAGTTTCTTCAAGGTTACATAAAATAGTTTACGCTACTCACCAACAGATGGCGCTCTTTAAATTTTTCGAGCGGTTCCGTTAGTGTTCTTTTTTGTTTATTCCACGCATTTATAGATGGCGCTACGCATCGTACAAATTTTAATTCTTTCAATTTTAAGAGCGCAGAATTAAATAGATAATGTATTTTTTGCTATTAGAAATTGAAGTATAAATAGTTTGATGGTCTTTGCTAAATGGGGTCTTAGGGATTTTTTAATGAATTCATATTAAGCCTTTACTTAAATATGTTTCAATATAAATTGATGACCATAAAAACTCTTTGTAATTCCGTACTATTATTCGCAAACGAGACATCTTTATACATGTAAGCCGAATAGACATTTATGTTGAATCAAATGTACCATTGGTTAAAAAATTTAGTGATATCAATATAGGTTTCATACAATGATGCATCATGTGGGCGTGTTTCAGCCACTAGGCATGGCGGCGGCAGCTGTAGTGCCAGCTCCACAGGACTCCTGCGAATTCGCATCTCCCAAATACTTCGCGCTGTGCGGACTTGGCGGTATTCTGTCCTGTGGTAAGTACACCCAAACACCCAACTATTCAACACTTTGTAAATTTATTTATAGTAGTCGCACATTGGCGGCAATTCGATTTTTTTTATACTACGTTGGTGACAAACAGGCATACGGTCCATCTGATGGTAAATGGCGAGGTGACGACCCTTAAGAATATACCGTTCTTTTTATAGTTATGAATTCACACAGACCTACCCGTAAATAAAAGAATATAATAATATGTATATTTATCGGCCATGTGTGGAAAGGGTAACAGGCTATATATTATATGTAGTACTGTGAACTACAATGCAACAACATATAAGGATGTAGGGCATAATTTACGTCATACGTTAGACACCCCCACCCTCCTAATGTTGACAAAGTGTAACACGGTATAACAAGGTATTGGAGGAGTATTCAAGTTCTTGTGAAAAATGATGAAGTCTAATCTCCCGCACTTAGTTAGATTTGGTGACAATCAATCAATCAAAAAATCAAAAAATCAAATCAATCAATCATTTAAATTTTAGTATTATAGCAGAAAATCATTTAAAATATGATCCATAGTAACATGGCTCTCCTATGAAATGAGAGGTAAAAGTTACTTAAAAAATTGTGGTACAGGAATTATGTATAAGTATATATGAGCCCTAATCTATACCACAGGTATAACCCATACGGCCGTGGTGCCACTGGATCTGGTCAAGTGCCGGCTGCAGGTGGACGGTGACAAATACAAGAACGTGGTCACCGGCTTCAAGGTTTCCGTACGCGAGGAGGGCATCCGAGGACTCGCGAAGGGCTGGGCACCAACCTTCATCGGTTACTCCCTACAAGTAGGTCTTATTCACTTTTCCCCTCCTATCGATCCCCCGTCCAATTCAAACGGGGTCGAAATTACGACTGCCTGAGACAAAGATCGACTCCTAAAGATTCCCTCAGACTGAAGTTGTATACTGAACTTAAATCTATGTTCAGTGGAGACTTAAACAAATGGAAGTGTGGCGAAGTGTAGGCACTTTAGTATCAATCACTTCCTCCTTTTGGAATAATTCTAATCTATCCCTCTTTTAATAATAATAAAATCTCAGGACTATCCACAAAGCCCCATCTAGTTTGGGACTAGCAAGCAAAGCTTATGTTATGGGTATTCGACAAATACATAGATACGTTTTTTATTGTTCATATAGACATAATATACATATTTTTTTTTTGATTATTTTTGCACTGCCAAAAATTTTTTCAGATACCTATGGTATGCTATGGAAAATACCGTTTGTTGTTAAGTACGCCAAATGTACTGTTACTTTTTGTACTGTGTGCATTAAAGTTATAAACCATAGAGACCGTTTATTTTAAATATTTCCATGTATAGGGGCTGTGCAAGTTTGGCCTGTATGAGGTGTTCAAGGTGGGCTACACGGGACTCCTGGACGAGGAGACAGCCTACACTTACCGTACCTTCGTATACCTCGCCGCCTCCGCGTCCGCTGAATTCTTCGCAGATATCGCGCTGTCGCCGCTCGAAGCAGCTAAAGTAAGTCCTACGCTCCTAAGAATATCCTTCAATTCGGAAGGAAGGCGGTATCCTAAACCGCTATACCACTTAGGCCCTCAAATAATAAAAAATCTGTATAATGTTGAATTATGTGGCCCAATGATGAGAAAATGCGCATGGAGGGGTACGAGGCGGCGTGAGGTCGGCGATGGTGAGCCATGGCCCTGCTAGTAGCAGCGTGACTCGCGCCGACCACGCCCTGTGATATCCAAGATTATGAGATCTGAGGGCTAATGCTTGCAATGTAAAAATTACTTGTGTTCCAACTACTTCAAAATAATTCCATAATGCTATAATAACCCTCGATCGACGCAAAAAGATGGGTCTTATAAGTTTGACGAGTCTGAGTATCTGTATGGGGTATCATATCTCCTGGAGCAGTGATTCCTCAAGTGGTCTATATCACCCCCAGGGGTCTATGACAAACTTCAAGGGGTCACTAACAGCAGTCATCTTGTTGTTTTCACTTTATGTTTTTAACACTAAAATTTACTACAGTAGAAAATAATTCACACAAATAAGTTTGTTAGGCCTTTCTAAGATTAACACAAATTTACAAACAAACATACTAACAATAATTTTTTTGGGTTATGATAAATTGGTCCCCAGTATAATAATTTTCCTCGTATATGTTTTAAGTATATCGACTGATATAACGAATTTAAATTATAAGTTTGATTATTATTACAGTTCTAACGTCAAATGTTAATTCTATATGTGTGTGTTTGTCAAATACATGGTAGTGTATGCTATGATTGAATTCTTTATGCATAATTGAATAAAAATATTAGCATTGTGCACTCCTTTATATAAATGTGCGAAATTTCATACTCGTCCGTCCGCGAAATGTTCGTAAAAAGGGGTACAAAGTTTATTAATATAATAATATAATATCTACAAAACATTTTTATATAATAGTGTTACCTCACAGTTATCAGATAGTCATATAGAGACAACCCTGTTTACATTGGGCCTACATTGTAAATGCGATGAGTATTTGTGTGACAATGTCAGTAGCACTATGTCGGGTGTGAATTGAACATTGTATTTGGCCTCTAGCCAAGGACATCCGTTATAAATGTACTTGTTTTATATATAACAGACTTTAGACTGTATATGCGTGTTTCTATGAGACATTATCAGTGGATAAAATGTAAGATATATATATATACATATATGGGTATATAGTTAGAAAATGTATACACATTGGGCTCCCTAAAATATGGTCGAGCGTAGTGATGGCTGGCTCATCCGTCGTATTCGTGAACGGGTGCTGCTTGTGTGGACTGGATGCTCTAATCACTATGACTTATTTCCTCTTATTAATTGTTTAACCAGTTGTTGTGTATTGAATGTTTTTTCTATTTTATTATTTCATTGAATTAGTGCTAATCGGTAGTTTGTATTCACACGCTTAAACTTAAATTGTAAGTAAGAATAAATTATTTAATAGAGCAACACACTATTCTATTCTATATAAAAATACAGTAGTAATATTAAAAAACAAACCTAATATCAGCTGTGATTTTTTTGGTGACTTGCCATTCCACTAATCAAGAACTTCAGCTGTTTATAACTGAATACCAAAGAATAGAGTTGCCAATTCTTTGTGATAAATAATACATGTTTATTTTTATATGAAAAAATAATTGCTTTCAGAAATAAAATCGAGCAATCAATTTAGTAGTAATATGTTACAGAGCTATATACCCTTTATATGTTTATATACAACTGACCCAGTAGGGGTTAATATTCAATTCTGGAATATATTCTTTATTTAGTTTAAACTTGATTTGAAACTAGGGGTTGAGTTTTTTGTATTAAATTTTCTTGTTATTAAAAATGCAATTTTAATGTAAAACTGGTAACTAACATTTGCATACAATTCACTGCCTAAGTTCTCGTCAATTTGTCCTAAGACATAGGCCTCCTCCAATAGATACCATGTTCTTCTGTCTTAGGCTTTCCTTATCCATGTTCAAATTCAAATTCAAGAATCATTTATTCATGTAGGACATTTTAGCAGCTTATGTATGAACGTAAATTTTTTTACATGTTGGTTCAGCCACTGCGTCATCAATAATTTCTTAATATACCTGAAAATGTTTTTTTCTCATTGCAGGTACGTATCCAGACCATGCCTGGCTTCGCGAACACACTCCGTGAGGCGTGGCCCAAGATGGTCCAGAGTGAAGGCTACGGCACATTCTACAAAGGCCTGGTCCCACTGTGGGGCAGACAGATTCCATACACCATGATGAAGTTCGCCTGCTTCGAGAAGACCCTCGAGCTGTTATACCAGGTTCAGTCAATTATTTCAATTTCTTCTTTTAGAAACTAAATTATGCGTTATTCTAATATTATTTACTGGCTGTGCGGTTTCACCCGCGATCAATTTCAATAAAACTTATAGCCTGTATGTTATTCTGATGCATAATTACTGTAAAGTTACATCAAATTCCGTTCAGTAGTTTATGCGTGAAATAGTAACGTAACATCCATCCATACTCACAAACTTTCGCGTTTATAATGTTAGTAATCATATAGGCAATAGTTATATAATTGTTGTTTTACATTCTATATTTATTTATTTTACATTCATAGGCTTAATTACAAATAATATAATGCAATAGTACATAACTCAGTGTGTAGAATCATTCAAGAATTTTTTTTAAGAACAAAACTGAACTATAGAACTTAAAATACAGGAAATTGAAAGTAGAAATTACAGTTAGACTACTAGAAATTTTTAAATACCGATATACTATAATTTAATTTGAGATGTTTGATTTTCATTCCAGTATGTGGTGCCCAAACCTCGCTCGGAGTGCACTAAAGGCGAGCAATTGGTAGTAACGTTCGCTGCCGGGTACATCGCTGGCGTGTTCTGCGCTATCGTCTCGCATCCCGCCGACACTGTCGTCTCCAAACTTAACCAGGTAACCACATCTACAAACATGCACCATTTTTTTTAATAACTGGAATGACAGTTAGCTTTTCATTCTTTCAAATTCAAAATATGTTTATTCATGTAGGTCTATTACAGACACTTATGATATGTCAAATCTACCGTCAGTTCGGGGTGATGTCTTTCATATGGGAATCGGCGTTTACGCAGGAAACAATGTGTAAATATAGACCAAGAGAATGAGAAGTAATGCAGTGAACCAAATATTCATAAAATTTGTAAAGTAGTTTGTAGTTGATCCTGGTTAAATATGTTGGTGCATAATATTTTTTATCTATTATAATAATAATAATATCCCTGGACTATTCACACAGCACCATTTAGTCCTAAACTAAGCAGAGCTTGTGTTATGGATAGTAGAGGTCTTATATAAATACATAATAAATTTTGTAAATACATACATTATCTATATTTAGATAACATTCAGACCAATACAATAATACTCATCAATGTTTGTAATGAATGAGGTATCGAACCTGTGATACAAGTGGAGAATGATAAATTGAATGATAAGGTCAGGTCACTTAGTCCATAGTGGAAGCTATGACGATAGTTTACATGACTTGGTACATTTGCTAGCAGGGTCATCAGTCCACATCACTAACAATCCCCTTCCCACATAAAGAGTTATTATTATTAATGTTATTATCCTTTATTCAGGACAAGACAGCGACAGTGGGCTCGATCGTCGGTAAACTGGGATGGGCGGGCGTATGGAAGGGTCTCGGACCTAGGATCGTAATGATTGGTACACTCACCGGTCTCCAGTGGTTCATCTATGACGCCGTCAAGGTGAGAACTACTACATGTAACTCGTGACTCTATACTGTTGTTTTTATTTAAATGGAGTGACAAATGAGATGATAGACCACCTGATGGTAAGTGGCAACCATATAAATATACTAGCTGTGCCTGCGATTACATCCGCGTGGAGTAATTACTTTAAAAATGACGATACTTCCATAGAACCTTTCATCTGCTTATTCAACTAGTTTATTTGCATTAAAAAGTAGCTTATGTCCTTTCTCAGGGTCTAGCCTATCTGTGTAACAAATTTTATATAAATCGGTTCAGTAATTTTGGCGTAAATGCGCCACAAACTGTGTTGCTTTAGCATTTATAATATTATATATATAGTATGGATAATATGTGAACAGAATTGCCTAATTGGCAATGGGAACTAAATGAATAGTAACATTTCGGGACATGTGTTGCAGTGCTCATGGAGGACTAAAATGTCATGGTTCCATTCTTTATAATTTTATAAAATCATAATAACAAATAAGCTACCAGTCCACCTTATAGTAAGTTGTAAGACTTGATAAGATATCAAAGGACCCCGATTCACATTTTTTATCACTTACGCTAGTTACTCCATATAAGAATTGACATGAAACTCAGTAATCATATTTTTAGTATAAATATATATACAATGATTAATTATCAACCAATTGTTCCTACTGACTCAAAGTGTAGACAATATTATCTATGAGTATGCCTATATTCACTTGTTTATGTAATGTATTTATAAAAGTATTGTATACTGAATTACACGTGTAAATTGCAGGTATGGCTGAGGATGCCCCGACCCCCGCCAGCGGAGATGCCCGAGTCTCTACGCAAACGGCTAGAGGCTGAACAAGCGCAGGCGAAGTGAACTTAGCAATAATTACTCGTCAACTAGCCAGATAACGTTTAGCGTCGTCTCTCTCTTGTCTGCATATAAAGAAAGAGATGTAATTACGTTTTAATCGTGGCTGTGTAAGAGTTAGGCAAGTTACTATACTACCCAATGATGTCTCAATAGTTTTAAATGTATATAATTTCAATATAAGTCGTTTGCTTTGAGCAGAAACTGTCAACGGCCGTTGGATTCTTCTGTATTCTTTTATTTATTATCCAACTGCACGGCAATAGCGTCAACTTCCGTTTTATGATCCATGCCTTGTATGGAAAATTGTGTGGCTCAGTTACGATTTTATGCCAAACGAATATTTGAAATTAGGCCTATCTCAGGTATCGACTTTTCTACCATCACAAAACTACCTTACAACCTGGAACATAAATAGCATCTTTATTTATGTTATGGGACGAACTGTCCCGTGGTTTTCGTACGGTATGCCGAGTTACGGGTTTTAGTAATGATATTAATGAACTATTGAGACTTCATTACAAGTACCTCTTTGTTGATATAAGAAATACCGCCTCCTACGCGCACGTAGTGTACAATAATCAAATGAGTGCATTGTTATCACAATGTACGAATTACTCCACTCTGTAGTTCAGCGATTACCAACAATAAATAAGCGTGATTGTTAATTTATAATTAAATAAAAATTATTATTATTTATTTTTTGTTAATATATTTATGTATATAAGCTTGGTTGGAAGTATGTATTACCATTTGAAATCTCGTACAATAAATATTAGAATAATATAATTTGTTTTATTGAATCTTTAGTAGCCCTATGTTTCATGATATAGGCCTGAACAAATTAAAAGACATTTTCTTAACGAATAATATGTATTATTATGTTATATAATGTATTATTAATACGTGAAGCAAAAACTTACGTTTTATCACAATAATTGCGCGGACATAGGAGTATGAAATTTCACACACTTATAGTTTATATGAAGGAGTGCAGAATGCTCACATTTTTTTAAATAATGTATATAATATACATTAAATCAATAAAAAAAACATTACACACGCATACTCTTGTTTCTTGTTAAAATCTGTGGTCAAATTGAGAATATTTTAATATTGTTTGTCTTTAATATGATTTGTGTATTATTATTAATAAATTAAATATGGTCAGAAATTCTACCACTAAGCTAATATTATGAAAATGAAATTGAAATGGCAAACATGCCTCGGCACACCAGATTGAAAGAGAACTGTCTATATATCTGTAATACTACCAAGTAAGAGAAATCTTTTCATTGAGTAACTGACTATTCTTATAGTATTATTAGAATCAGGAACCATAAACATTGAAAATACTCTTCACCTCACTGAGGTTTGAGATCTACTCAACTTTGTAGTCCTGTGTTCATCAATTGTCCTCAACAGTAAGCACTGTGCAATCTTAAACCAGTGATAGTAACAAAAAATAATGTTGCAATTTTGTCAAAAAATACCACAAAAACTAAATTGAATCATTGTTTTAGGCTTTTAACTTGAGTAATTCCACGAACCCATTCGCATCACAGCCATGTCGGCTTCTTGTGGGTATAACATTTTTAGCAGCCGTAAGTATTATAATAGCGAGACATACAATACGAGGGCTCAGACAAATCTATTTACATTAACTGTAAAATAACAACAAAACAACTGTAAAATAACAACTATAGCACAGACTATAGAGATACTAGTTATACCCCCGGTTTCGCGCGCGTACATTTTATTGACTAGTGTTATTGTGATGTATGTATGTATAGTTATATTAGTTTCATTAAAATTAAATCCGTTCTACTAGCTGCCCTCCCCGGTTTCGAACGTGTACACGTATTAAACAGACATTTAAGAGTAAGATTTATACTCTTGAATCACTATCTATTGCCAAAAACTGCATTAAAATCGAATCGGCTTCATTTTATACTTTGTAATGACTTGTTATTCTGATGTATTTCTGACTATGTTACTGTAAAATTTAATTAAATTCCGTTCAGTAGTTATTGCGTGAAAGAGTAACAAATATCTATCCATCCATACTCATAAACTTTCGCGTTTATAATATTAATAAGATAGTTTTTCATTGTTTACTAAATTTTAAAAATCAAGATAACTAAAAACAAAGTCGCCATCTTGATGTACCGCGAAAACAATAACTCAGCGCCTCTGGTGGTGAGTAGTCTAACTATATTTTAAATATTACAAGTTTCGTCATAGAAGAGATATTTACCTTTTATTTTTATGATATTATTTTCGGATTACGCAGTATCCATGAACTGTTCAAAATATTATTACTTATAATAGTTCCACAATTATTTCTACATCTTTATTTGTGTACTAATTAAATAGTATTAAAAATCCAATAGATATTCTCTGCGATGCTGGTGGTTTAACAATACGAAATCAATGTGGACTGGCTAGGCCACCGAATATGTACATGATATTTAAAAACATACACAAACACAACAAGTAGTAGAAGGAAATGTTGTTAGTTAAATGACTTTCACCAACAAAATCCATCCTGTAGATACTATTCAAGAAAATTAAAATTATTTAATACATTTCCTATGACCGAATATGAAACAATCGTAACGCAGGCAATTCAAAAGCAGTTCTTAAACAGTCCTGCTTAAAATCGTACCATGGCCTCACCAGCAGTTGTCTCTGGGCTGTTAGCATTTAACCGGGAAAAAATACAAAGTTAAATTGTTCTATATAAAATAGTTAGTGATATAAGCAAAATACATTTTAATAACATTAATATTTTTTCAATTAAATAACAATTGTTATTTCAAACACTACGGGTGTGTACGATGTGAATTTCACATTACGAAACGCTTTAGAAATTTAACGCATGACAAAAGAGATGTGTAAAAAATGGTTTTATTTTTCAAGTACTCCACAGGATCTCGTCCAAAGATATTGCCTAAAATTTGATGCCTGTTAAGTGCTCTAAATATGAGTTAAAGGTATTTCCGAGGAAAGTAAATTCATAATATTTTGAGTGCTAATACTTTGCATTTAAAGGTATATACTAAATAAAAATTTATGCAATTTTAACAACACATAAAGTCTGTTGTTGAAACTCTCAGGCTGTTTGTCTGTATTGGCTGTTGTCACCCAGGCATTTGTGATGTAGGTAGTTTAATAAATTCTCAACTTCATTTATAAACTCTCCATCCTTTAATAAGAAACGGTCATTAATTTCCTTGCACTACGACGCCTATTTCTTGTCTCCATTGAATGTTCACTCTCCAAATATTTAAATAATTCATAAGTGCTCGTCGCAAATTTATAATACAAAAAATGTTAAACTGTATAAGATATTTAAAGTATTTTTACATGTCCACTTCACGATTTTAACACCTACTTTGTATGAAATCCAAGTTTTTGTATACAAAAACCACTATACCATGTGCACTGTAGCATGCGGGTGACAGTTTCGTTTCACTTTTGAAACTTGCTGCAATTAACAAAGTATGAGTGAATATTTCAGCTGTACCACATTCGTGATATATTAAATCATTAATAACCGTAGTAACTTAAATTTAGCAATTGTTAAACGAAGCAACTACCACCAGCACCACACTACAGTAAATAAATTCCAATATTGAAGCGTTAGTAATAGTTGCCACTCGTAATAATGTTATGCAATATGGTCGGAGATGTTCAAATATCCACTTAAAAATAGAGAACAATTCTGTACAAGTCACTTTTTCAACAGTGCTTTATTTGACGTAACAAACGTGCAATAAACATTAAGATGCTGTCAAATTCGACGTTATGGTACGAATTGTTTCAAAATGTTCATACAAAAAAAGGTGAACGGTATACGAAAACTATCGTGTTGCAGGCCTGCTATAATGAGCTCATAGTACGGTTAGCAGAGTTAATGTTCTAATAATGAATCGTTTCATTTCATTATAAAGGTGTTAGAGTTAACAAGTCATTTTGTATTAGAAATCTCCTTTTAAATCTCTGTAAAGCATTAATTACAAGTGTTTTAATTTATGTTTAGTAGATATTTTTCATTGAAATCAGACAGAATATGCAAAAGTAAAGAATCTAACGTACCTATATTGCACGGTACAAATGGTAGAATAAAGTTTCAAGTATACAGAAAACAACAACATCATTATCTCAGTGCTCATTCCCCGCTTACCCCCGCCTCACCCCCTCCGAAATTTCTTTTACACACGTCCTTTATTCTCGTGCTATTTTTTCACTTCGCTTTGTGTACGGTACCCAACTACGAGTAGTACGAGTAGGTGCGGGTGAATTTAGTTTAAATATATACATTTTTTTTTAATTAAACAATAGATGGATATTAATATAATTTTACTATTTTTTTTTCTATTTAAGTTTTATGTGATTCATGTTGCGGTGAATTGGTAAGTTTATGTTTCATTTTTTTATTTTAACATTTGCAAGTTTTTATAATTGTTGTCGTAGTGTATAATTGAGTACAAGTGCCTAAATATTCAGTTCTTAACATATTTAACGATTTCATATTATAACGTTAATTTATTTTCATACTATATTGCCCATATTACTGTTGTATGTAGTAATATAATTTATAATGGGTTATTAAATATTTTAATAGTAGCTGCAGAGACAGTGAAGTGACATATATATGTATATATATATATAATTTTGTTTCTTTTATTAGTGAATAACAAAAATAATCTTTGAATATTAACAAAATAGTTTCTGAACAATACATACAGGTATTTACGTACTATAAATTCTGTAATAAAAAAATGGTAATGTTTTTTATATATTGTGTTTGCATTATATGACGTCGTATGAACTTCCAACATATTATTATTTAGAATTGTTTCACTGCAATTCATTTTATCGATAACTACTGACTACATCGTTATATAGGTTTCGTTTAAAATTTAATAAATAATTATATACAAAATAAAAATAAAAATACATGAATATATAAAATTTGAAATATGTTTTTATACTTTGTGATAAATTTAATGATTCAATTTAAAATACTAGATGAAAACCCGGCTTCGCTCGGGTGAAATGTGGGTAGATATTTCTGTAGCCATCGGTTCTCATGGAATATTAAAAGTAAGGCATAGATTTGTAAAGCTTCGTTCATTGTGTTTAATAAATATAGTAAATAAAAAGTGCAAAAGTTTTAATACAAATAATTTTATTTT